TTTAAAGATCGCATTCAAAAAATTTTAATCTATTTTAATCCATTCTCGTTTACTGGGAATCTCTTTTTGATGGTGTTAAAAATAAGCTCCAAAGGGTATCCATTATTTAGTAAAATGTTGATTATTTTCTGAAAATTTAATTCATGAAATTTTAGATGTAATAACATTAACACTTTGTCCATTAATCCCGTAATAGTACTTATTTTTTGACTAATGGGTGACACGAAAAATAATTTAAATATCTTGAAGAAAATGTAGATTTTTATATCAATTATAAATTAGTTTTTTGTCTTCTTTGTTTAAAGTTAGGTCTAAAAATGAATTTATTCCACCAAACTCTATAGTAAATTTTAATCTAGACTCACATTCGTTAAAATTTTTTAAGATTGTATCAATATTTTTAGTGGACAAAGCAATGACACCAACATACCTATAATAAAAATCTAATGTGAATGGTAATTTTTCAAGTGTGTAAAATCTTGCATCACAAGGTCTGCTGCAATTGGTGATAACAGAGATCCCATAGGAATGCCAAAAGATTGCTTATAAAACCCATCGTTAAAGCAAAAATAAGTCGAATTAAGTAGTACTAAGGTAATAGCTTTAAAAAATTCTTCCTTCGGTAATGAAATATTATTTTCTATATATCAATGCTTTTTATTATCGAATCGAATGAGACATTAGTTGAAACAACGTCTAGAGACACTAAGAAAGAATCATCCGATAGAGTTACCTTAGATAATTCTTTTGTAAGTTGAAAACTATTTTTAACAAGACTGTTAAATTTATTTAAGTTTTTATCTAATATTTTATGTAAAGATGAAGTCAATTTATATAATGGACTACCTATGGAGGACATAATAATTCGTAATGGATAATCTTGCTTATGTATATTGGGTAATCCATAAATTCTTGGTAATATTGATACTGTTGCATTTAAAAAATTATAGGTGGAATAAGTCACGATTTCATTTTTTAACAATGTTTTTAAGTTTTCTAACAATTTATTATTAGGTGTACAACTTTGCTTTCGCCGTTTTCCTATAGATATAGGAATTAGAGGAGAAGGAAAAAGTCAGGCAGAGGAATGAAAGATGGGAACGGATGAAGAAATTGTGATTTAGTAGATGGTATGGATGTAAAGGAGGAGAGAGTGCCGAAATATCTGGAGAAAGGATGGAGGGAAAGTAGATGGCAGAGGATAGCAATGTTTAGGCTTGGAAATGAAATGATCAAAGGAAGGTATTGGTAGGAAGAGAATAGGAGGATGCGCGGAGAGCAAAGAGAGACCTGGAAGCATGTCTGGGAGGAATGCAGGAGCTGGAATGAGGAAGAAGGTAGTTGGCAGGAAGTATGTAAGAGGATCCTAGAGGTAGAGGGAGAGGGGGAGAGATGAATGAGGGAAATGGAGAAGGAGAGGAAGGGAGAGGGAGAGCGTGAGTGAATGAGGGAATGGATGAGAGAGAGAGAGAGAGAGAGAGAAAGAAAGGAAAGGCAAAAAAAATGTAAACGGAAATGAAAGTCCATAAGGAATAGGCATAGAGGGTAGCGGAGCAAACGAGTGCGAGTAGGGGGAAAGAGAGAGCGGAATAATTTAATTTAATTTAATTTAATTTAATTTAATTTAATTTAAAGTTATAAGAAAAAGACTACATGTTAACAGAGTAATAGACATAAAGTAATATAATACAGAAGACTACAGTTAGCAAAAACAAAAATACAATAAACAATAGTAGCTAGCAAATGGTTAGACGTCAGCAAAATTGCTGTTAGCCTATCAGTAACAAAATCAGAATAAGACAACAATTAGAGGTAAACTAATAGTTGAAAACATACACCCACACACACACACACACACACTCACTCACTCACTCACTCACTCACTCACTCACACACACATACACACCAATACATACACCCACAAACACATCAATTACATCAGTTTGAATACCGTGAGTGACGCAATGAAACGTGAGACAGCGAAACGAAAGGAGGATAAAGAAGGAGAGCTTTTTATTGAATCAGGAAGAGAATTAAAATGTTTGACAGAGGTGTAGGAGAAAACAGCATGGAACTTAGAGGATCGATATGGGGAAGGATAAGTAATCTTGGTATCTGGACAAGAAGGTTAAAAGAGAAATGATGCTCAGAGTTCAACTGAAGGAGACGTCGCAGATAGAGGAGTATTAGAGCGAAGGAGAGAAAATACAAGACAGCACAGGTGAAGAATAAAACATTGCCAAATTTTAAACCAGCCAGATCTTTGATAATACGGAGATATGTGGTCGTATTTACGAACACAATAGGAAAAACGGAGACAAGAATTTTGGATACACGATTTAGCAGATGTTGGTTAAGAGCAAGAACGTAAATGACACTAGCGTAATCAAATAGAGAAATAACAAGTAATTAGGAAGTGAGAAGTTTTTGAGAGCAGGAAAGGATGAGGCGAACGGGATAAAGAAGACGTAAACGAACATAAGCAGTCCGACACTTGACGACCATGTGTGACTGGAATGACCATGAAGAGTCAACATAGACACCAAGAATCTTAATAGAGGAGGAGCTTAATAGAATTAAGTTATAATTAAGAATCTTAATAGAATTAAGAGAAATGTCAAAGAACTGAATACGAGATAATAATAATGAAACCGACAATTAGCAAGGATGAATTAGTTATAGGTTAGGTTAAGTTAGAGTAAGTTAATGTGTAAGTTAATATAAGTGCGATTGTAAATAATGTGTAATCCTAAGGGAAAAAACAAATATATATATACATACATTAAGTACTTTTTTAGTTATAATGTTTGAAGTTTAAAGTTACCACCGGTATTAGCATTACCCAAGGTATCCAACCGACGCTAAAATCTCTTGAATTATTATTCAAGATCATGTCTTGGATCCCTATTCTTGAAAAGTATCACATACGTAAAATTAGGAAAATATTATAGTATGCTTTACATATACTATAGCATTTCTCTAATTTTTCGTATGCAATACTTTTCAAGAATAGAGCCTCTGGATATCATTTGTCAAGATCAAAATCATTGGAAGTTGTATCTCTTACTTTCATTTTTATGTAAAAATAAATTTTTAGTGCAAAAATGAAAATAAGAGGAATAATCTCCAATAGCCTTAATCTTGATAAATGTTATCCAGAACATGATTCTGAACAACATTCAAGAGGTTTTAGTCTTCGATCGGACACCTTGGATAATGCTAATGCTGGTGGTACTGTAACTTTCAAGCATCATAAATCGAAAAATACTAAAAAAAACTAATTTTGTTATAGTGTTTTGGAAAGCTCTTGATATCAGCTATTAGATTCATCAAAAATAGGATGTTCTATTTTAAAAAATCAGTTTGATCTTAACCTGACCTTGGCCATCCAAGGTCAAGCGGATGTAATCAGTGAATAGATCTTTTTAAATCTTACAACTTTTATCTGAAATATTTTTCTCAAAAATGCTTTATTTTTGAGATATTCAATCGTTTTTAAACTTTTGATACACCTTGTATACAGAGTGTCTGAAATTTAAATGTCAAAACTTTAAGAGCGTGTAGGGGATCGGTAAACTAAGAAAAAAAGTCCTAGAAATATGCTCGTTTTTTCTTCGTTTTGAAGAAAATCACAAAAAAAGACAAAACATAGTTTTCATTTTTGTATTTTCTCATTATTTATTCATATTGTATTTATTCACTTGCTTAATGTAGATTGTTGAAAATATTGGCCTCTGCAGCAATGCAAACATCTAGTATTGGACAGCTCGTATTGCAGCTAAATACTGATCTGGCGATATTTGGTGCACTGCACCTCGATTCGATTTCTCAATTGTTTTCTTGAGTTGATTGACAACGAATAAACTTTTTGCTTCACTCTCCATACAAAGAAGTCCAGTGGTCAGGTGATCGGAGTGACCAAGATATTATTCCTTCATGTTCAATTCGTTATAGAAAATGTCTGTCTAACCAAGCTCAAGCTGCCATAATGAGCTGACACCTATCGAGTTGAAACCATATTTCTTTGTTGCAGGTGGATATCTTCTAAATAATCAAAGAAGTCTCTGTATATCTGGCTGCATTTAATCTATCGGATAAAAAAAATAGTCTCACTAGACAAAAACAAACAAAAAAAGTTTTCATCTAAAAATGGAATTATTATTATTGTTTTCGTGTATGGTTTTAGCGACGATAATACTTTAGAGGCAAGAACGAAGCAACTATGTTTTGTCTTTTTTGTGATTTTCTTCAAAACGAAGCAAAAATGAGCATATCTCTATTTTTTTCTTAATATATTGATCCCCTACACGCTCCCGAAGTTTTGATATTTAAATTTCAGACATTTCAGACTTTATATTCGCATATAACAAAAAAAATGATTAACTTTACCCTATCTGAAATAATTGTACATTTTAAAGTGATTGCGAGTTACAATTACAATTTAAATCGAATTCTACGCTAAAAATATTTTGCTTAATACTTCTCATATGTGTCTTTTGTTTAATTACAATGATTTATTTACAGGCATATCCACCTAAAACTATGTCTTATATCACGCAAATTAAACAATGTATTCAATATACAAATATCACTACAAATGCTATGGTACTTTGTTGAAATTATACAATCTACGGTATCAATATGTGTTGGTTACTTACATATATTTTCGAAACTTGGACGTTTGTAGACATATTCGACCACTTGAATATGCAAATTCTTTTCATTCTGCATCTTATTTTTCACATTAAACCATACGTGCCAAAGTATTTATTATGAGGTATAATAGAAATAAAAGAGAGACATTATTAATTATTTACAAGTAGACTAATAAACACAAGTAACAGTTTTGCAACAATAAAATTGCACATATCAAAGTTTTCTTCAAAATGTTGTCTTATTGACTGAATATAAAATTTTCAATCTTACCATAAACTTTCATATTGTATTAAAACAATTTCAGATAAACGAGACAATAACAATTCTTCACAAATTATCCAATTATAATCTTGAAAAGGACTTACGTGAACAGGTAAATAATTTCAACAAAATTTTATATAAATTTTAACAATTCTATGTGCAATTTTTCTAGCGCTTATTAAATTCGAATACCGGCATAAATTTTTTCGAATTATTATGCAAAAAATTGGGACATTGTAGAACAGTCATTGTATAATACTTGTTTCAAGATACTTGTGCATTACATACTAACATATTACATAGATAGATATACAGGTTAGAAAAAGCTTTATAAATTATATTTTGTTATTTTATATCAAAAGCGAATATGTGAAGTTTATTGATTATACTATCAACATTCTACAAAATAAGTACTATGTAATTTGAAATATAATGTTGAAAATAATTTACGAAATTTTTGCAATTAGTATTAATATATGTACAAATAGTCTAAAATATATAAAAGGCACTATTAAATTCAAAATAATGTTGAATTATATTCAGTTTAAGTTATTTTCAATATTATTATTATATATAGGTCGCCATTGATTTTTCTCAATGTATCATTAACTTAATAAAACAATCAAGTTAAATGATTTAACTCAAGAAAATATATTAAATTTTCCTCAAATTTAATTATTATTAATACAAACGCTTTTTAATTTAAAACTAAAAATAGACTGATTTTGATACATATTGAAATTAAAAAGAACAAGATGTTATTTAACTGAAGGAATTGGATTGCTATCTTTGGGTTGCTTTAATATATAACAATGTAACACAATTGATGTTTTATAATAATGTCTTGTACGTTCTTAATTTTTTACAAGATTTGAGATATAATTTATGCTAGTGTCCGAACTTTCATGAAAAGTAATGTACATCTGACTTTTATGAAATTATTTATTTTAATTAGATTTTACAATTTATTTTGCAAATAAAAGTAAGGGAGGTGAAATTTGGCATGGGAAATTTCTACTTTGGATATAATTTCATTCGCCAGGTATATATTGAATAAAAAAATAAGCATATAATAAATGTACACATGTAATAGAACAAATACTTGTACGTTTTCAATCTTACAAATTACATAAATATCTAAATGGTAATATAATATTAAAAGCATTTCTCAATCAATTGCATTTGTGTATTTTTCATTGTTATTTTACATATTCAAAATTTTCTTTTATATTAATTCTTCTCAATTTAACAAAAATACATTAAGTATAATATAATAAAAGCATGTTTTTTTTCAGATGTATAACACAGCTTTGAGCGTTTTGATGACTTTAATATCGGTATATAATAAATAATAGACCTTCTATTCTCTCTAATGCATAAGAAAAGTAGTTCGATTATGTTTTATTAATCATTTTGGTTAACCTAAATATTAGATATATATTATATATAGATAGATATATATTATAATAGTTGCTATGACGAGATTCGAGAATTTACATTTAGATTGTTTGATAGACTACAGTATGTTATAAGTATAATAAGTATGTAAGGTAAGTTACACGAAATGTTGTCATTAGCAATTGGTCATGGCGCACATTGGTACGAAACGGCTCAAAACACGCGCATAATGTGATTATTTACTAAATTAGAGAAGATAGCGAATGAAACTATGGTGTTTCCTTAATTTTTTCCGTAGAATCGAATGGCATTAAAATTTTTTATATACAATCACTTTTTAATTGTTTGACAATGATTATTTAAAACAAAAAGTTTTTTGTAAAATTTAATTTAACATTATATTCTTTCATAACTTCATTTTTTATTGTTTGTAATTATTCTTAGTAAAGAAGTATTTAAATTTTCGCAAACAAAATAAACAGAAAAAGTTTTTTTCAGTGAACCTTTCCGTACAATTCTGCTATTACTATTTATATGTAATTATTATTATTGATAATGAAAAATTGTTTTTCAATTCTTAAAATTAGGCAACTAATGCAAATCACTTTAAAACACGAGTATAATTAATAAATGTTGATTTTGTGACCGATTTTCGTTCAAATATTTCATCTGTAGAGTATTTGGTAATTATTCAGATCAAGGGATATCTCATCGATGACTTTGACTTTGACATATGTTGTCAAGATCATGGCCTTGAGTGATCCCCAACAGGGGGGAGGATTAGAGTCGCTTCGGCTAAAAGTTATGCGTCCTTTTGTAGGAGGTGAATAAATATATGTATATAATATCTCATATAAATATTATATAATTGTCATAAATGTTATATAATTGTCATATAAATATGTCATATATATGTTGAGCTTTTTTGTTCATAACTTTTTAACGATTAAAGACAACCGTCATCTAAAACCTGTCAAAGGTCGCTCAGGGCCATAACCTTAACAGCATATGTTGACAAGGTCAAGATCATCGGCGAGGTGTCCCTTAAATCTGAATAATTACCGAGTTTTTTATTTTTGTGCAATTTAATCATGTAATTAGTTTTTAAAAAATTAATTTTAAATTTTAATTCATAAAAACATTTTTTTTATTAAAATGTTACTATTTTATAAATAATAATAATACTATTTTTAAAACATTTTATTAAAAAATGTCAATTAAAAATATTTTTTAATTAGTAAAAATAAATATTGAAGTACTTTCAGTAGCTGATTCTCGAAAAAATTGGATGAAAGAATAATCGGAACAGAGTTTTGAGAGTAACTCCTGGAAATTTTAAAAAACTGTATCTATTTGCGATCCTTTGTAAAACCCGTTAAATAATAGATCTATGATGATTCATTTTTTGTAGACAAAAATCTCTTTGTGTAACATCAAATTTAAAACATTTTGAAATTACTTACATATAAAAATATATTTGAATAAAAATGAAAAAAAATTATTCTAAATTCTTTTTTAAAAAAGTAGTACTGATTTTAAAAATATAAATAAATATATAAATATTAAAAGTATTTATGATATCATAAATACTTTTTTTTTAAGCAAATTGATTAATTATTTGAGCTATTTTTTGTATTTTTTAGTTCATATTTTTAAGAATATCTTTATATAATATATTGCAAATTGTTGGTAGGTCTGTGCGCATTTCATTCTGAAATATTTGTATTTTCAAACAAGTTTTAATAAAACGTAAAATCTCGAAAAACTTTTTAGTTATTCATTATTATATTCTTTTAATTAAAAAAGAAAAAATTTGCATAATTAATGTTACATATCTTTTAAAAGTAATGATATAAATTATTTTTCAAAGTCACACACCAAAGAACCATTTAAAACATTATTTAGATCTCCCGCAATGTTTTCTATTATACGCGCATTTTCAACTGCTTTGGACCAATGTGTGACGTGGCGGTAAATCCGCAAATCCTTTGGCACCTCTGAAGAAAATATCCGTGAAAGCCTAAAAAGTATCATCAATAATGAGAAAATGTTAAAAGAAATTAATTTAATTAAATAATTTTTACATTTGTTTTAGAAAAAATTAAATTTCGAGAAATTTAAAAAATTGCTCATATATAGTTACATAAAATTATGTATGAGCAATTTTTTTTACATTTCTTCAAAACTGTTTTTTTTTTTAAATAAACAATGCGAATATATCCCTTTATTTTTTGTTTTCTCGTTCTTATTATTATTTTTATTAAACTAAAAAGTAATTTTACAAAAGAAAAAAGGATGTATGTATATGTATAGACATATTTTATATACATATACATAATTACTTATATTAATGAATATTTATACATGTTTATGTATATTTATACATATTTATATACAATATATTCATGCACAAAAAACATACCAGATTATATCATATTATATTATAAAAATTTGTTTAATATTTTTCAGTTGGAATTAACAAAATTAGAAATCTACTACGACAATTCTGGTAAACTCACAAATTAATTTCAGCGCACTGTGGCAGTTCGATTATTTTATTGAATAAATGTTTTATTGAATAAATGTGCTTTTTAATAAAACATGTACGTATTTTGTTTGTAAAAAATAAAATGTTAGTATACTACTTTTCAACTTTTGAAATTTATTTTTAACTTATAAGTAGCTCAATTCTTAATCTTCATTTTGTAATAATAGATAGAATTTCTTAAATACACCTAGAGGACTCCTTTTACACCTTTTATACTCAATTAATTTTTTCAAACCGTAGAAACTGATAAACATTCAAAAAACGATTTCGTTAATCCTCAACTATACATGTGAGTCATTTGGGCCCGGATGAAAATTTTAGTTGACCGCTATTTTTGTACGGTTAATATTGCAGAGTTGAAGTGGAGGAAGGGGTTAGACCTTTCTCTGTCGATCGCTATAATGCAATTATTTCGTTGTTATTTTGATGCTAATTGAGATGCAATAAAAGTTTGTCTTAGGTAACTTGGATCCATCAAATGTAAATTCGACAGATTTTTACCGAAAGTGAAAATTCGTTTTTGGTAAGTTCCTATCTATTAGTGCCACATTGATGTATATGTGTTTTTTTTATAATTAAAACATATATTCATTGTCAGAAAAAGAATTTTTGCGAGAGAAGTGTTTTAGCGAAGCGATTACTCTATTTTCTCGGAGTTATAAAATCATGACTAAATAATGTCAAAATCATTTAAGGAGAAGGTGATATTATGGCCAGTGTAGATATTGTGATCTCTCTTAATATCTACGCTATTATATGTATAAAGAATTCTAATAATTACTTATAGATCCAACAAACGAGAATGGTTTGAAATGAATTAAAATGGATTTAGATTTAGAAATACGGATTTATGAATGTTAAAATGAATCCTTTTCAATCTTGAATGCATTTTTATTTATTTATAGAAATTGCATAAAGCAAATGTTTATCTTTTCAATCAAAAATGCATTTTTATTCATTTATAGGAATTGCATAGAGCACATCTCTATGCCTTTCAATCTAAAAATATTATATTAGCATTTTCTGTGCATCGTGAATATTACTCAATTCAGAATTGTGAATAGAAAGTACAGTTTTTTTAATTCAGTTAAATTCAAAAATAATGTCAGCAATTTCTATGGAATATTGCTTAATTCAATATTTTGAATATGAAATGCAGTTTTTCA